ATGTCCCACTTGAAGAGTGTGGAAAGAGCGTCTTCCAATGATGTTTACATAACTGACAATGAAACGTGTAATGTTCTTGTGCATAGCTTTTGGAAGAGACTGTGCCGTGCTCTTCAGGCGGAGATAGAATTGCTTTATTGTGACTATAGCCAGCAGCATCAACGTCAACGGGAATCACAAACTTTAAATTTATATGATCGTTATGCTTCTTTGGTTGCAGAGGATCCGGCCTTGCAGGAGGCGATAGCACACGTTGTGTTGGATGCGGTATTTCAGAAGGTCAGTCGCCGTTTTGCCTCAATGGCTGAGAACGCGGCGGAAACAATTCATCAGGCCTTTGAGGGTGTTCTCAACCGCAACCAGGACGGCACAGTCCGTTTCTTTCATACAACAAAGGCACTACAACGCATTGAACCTCAGGCGCGCCAAGCTGGGCTTGTTCTCTTGGGCTGCCTGTTGTACTATCGCGTAAAGGTCGTTGCGGATCGGGTGGTTTACAAGCTAGAGGATACTGATGGACTCAGCCGTGCTGCTGTTCACCTCCTTGGCGAGCGTCGCAGGCTGATTGTGCGAGAAAACAGCGAGGAACAAAAATTTTTTCTTCACTATGCCACCATTTCGGAGGCTCCGCGGTACCCGATAGGTGCGCCTGTGGTGGAGACCGATTCTGGAGACACATCAGACAACGTTGTAGATAGGGACTGTGTGTTACTCAGTCAGCAGGCAGTGCAGCGGGCATTTGACCTGTATACACAAAAATGTGAATTCACCATGCAACTGCAACTTCGCTCCATTGAAGGCGAGAAACAGAATTTGCCTGCCTGGGTGCTGCCGGTGTTGTTGCTGTTGGGATGGAATGAAATATGGTATGTCCTTTCGTCCCCAGTTCTTTTTGTAGTTGTTGTTATTATCGCTGCGGTGTTTTTAAGGGGCTTTTTGTTGACTCAATGGGCAATATTTGAGGAGACAGGGCCCACCTGTGTCGTGGTGGGTGTTCGCGTCGTCGTGCGGCAAATTCGGAATATATACAAGGCCCTTGTTCCAATGATACCGGACGATGTTAAGAGTAACGTGGCACGGCACCGTGACCCAGGGAGTTTCTCTGATGTGACTGCGTCTGCTGTGGGAACATCATGGCCTTATGCTGCTGCCGAACCGACTGTGTTGCCGCCCTCTACAACGTCCGCCACTCTCACGCGGCGATTAAAGAAGGAAGAGGAGGTACCGACCCAGAAAGAATGATTTCCTGAATTCATGTAATGGATTATTATTACACATGTACCTGTATGCATCCATTTGTGAGAGTTTGGAAGAAAAAGAAAGGACGCAATGAAAAGTTTTGGCTTGTACTTTGAAGTACCCCAATAATTCTACGCGCACAGGTTGTGCTGCT